CCCCAAAACCCCAAAACCCCGATGCGAATATTTAAATCACAAGATATTTTTGGCATTGTGACTAAATTTACTAATTAAATTATTATAAATATAGAGGTTTCAAATGAATAATTCTTCACTTTGGGATTAAATTACTCAAGACTTAGATAAGAATGCCTTAAAGCGGATAGCTAAGGAAGAAATACTATAGTAGCAGTAATAGCCGATTTATTCTTCTATGGACGACTAAAATGAGACTTTTGGATTACAAAGTTACTACTTCTAGCAAGCAATATAAAACCAGCCTCCTCCTTAGTAGTTAAACATCTATCCTTAAAACCTAATAAATAACAGAGTCAATTCGAGTACTCTCGACCTGAGTGAGTTCATTAAATAAGAGAATATGCTTTAAAATTCAAATCCTTAGCCAAAAGATCCGATGCAAGTATTTATACAAAGAGGTAGACATCTTGAGTGGGTCTAGATGGTTGAGAATGCTACTAAGTTGCTGACTGATAGCAAAGGTTTGCTAGAGATACTAGAATCAGTTATTAAAAAGATTGAAGACTTTGTTGTTGACACTCAGCTCAAGACTAAGCGTATTATCTCAGACTTTGAGCAAAAGATCATCAGCCAAATTCATTAAAGTGAAACTAGTCTGCAAAGCGTTTTCAATCAGGAATAATTCAACATTTATAATGAGACAATAAAACAGCTCAGTAACAAAACAAATTCAGTCAGGCTAAATCTATAAGAACTAGATTTAATTAAAACAACTAAGTAAGAGGTCAAAGAAGATGTTGGTTTTATAGTTAAGAAATATGAAATAGAAGGGATGATTAGAATGTATGATAAAATCGTAGGCCATCTTGAAAATGATGTGTTGGCATTACAGAGACAAGGCGAGAAATCGATTGATATTGTATAAATTAGTAAAGTCATCAATTAGGAAGTATCAACTAGACTAATGAGCATTGATGAGCCCGTAAAATTTGTCATTTAGCATGGTGAGAGAATAATATGCAATGATAAGTACTTTAATCTCAAGACAGGCTAGTATATGGGTGAAATTAAATGGCATGACTCGAATTATGATGGGATTTCTCTTAATGATGAGTCTGTGCTAATGAGTCATAACAACTATGCCAAGATGACTCATTGGATGTGGCAGGATGGAAACTACAAGTACTTGAAGCGTAAAATATTCCAGTGCAGACAGCCAACTATAATGGCTACTAACATCAAGAAAAATCCTTATAGGAAAGACTATGTGATATTTTGCGTAATGGGGGGAAACTCACTAAACTAGATAAACATTGATAAGTTGAGTTTCTGCCAGTCAAAGCTGGTGTATCAAGCTCAAAACATCCCTAACTTTATAGATTATTCATTCGTAAGCGAGGACACAGCTATAATAATCACATTCTAGGGACTAGTTACGTATGATTTAAGAGCTAAGCAATTTATGATGTAGCTTAGTCATCAAAGCTTGAAAGCGCCAATGATAATACCCACTTACTTTGATATCAAATTCTTGCCTTTAATAATTATTAATAATAACAATAATTTTGAGACTGCAGATGTTAAGAAGAAAGAAACTCTTAGTAGAATAAGAGGACTAGAGAGAGCTTAGCTACTTGGCTAGATATGGAGGAAAGGCTTAGGGGAAAATAATAACACATATGCTATTGGATATGAACAGAGAAACTAGGAAATGAAAATGATGCTCTACTAGGTTGTGCTAGAATGAATAATATATTATTATTATTTAACTTACTAAGCCATAAATAATATAAAAGTCCTTAAGTTCCCAAAAGAACCAAATTATTTTTTAGAATGAGTGAGTTTAGATAAATTATATTATTAAATAAAATTAAAAATTAATAAGGCTTTAAATTTTCTGCCAACGACAAAAAATATGAATAGCAACTCTTTTTACTATGTTGATAGCGAGGATATGGAGCAATAGGCAAATAGCTGTGATATTTCTCTTTTAAGTGACTTCGGATCACCTTTTATTGGATCAGTTTTTAATGGAGATCGGAAAAGCAACTTGAGTAAGTAAAGTATAACAAAGAGAAAGGGAGGTGCTTTTGAGCTCTTAATGGATGAAATTACAAATAAGATACCTCTTGTAGATTAACTACAAGATATGTACAACTAGGAATTTAACTCAGGCTTGTCTTAAGAATGTTCCTTTAGAAATATCTAAAATAATCACTCAGTAAGATTCATATTAATTGATTTATCTCCCATTTTAGAAGGTTAACTTGATTGTATCATAGACTAAGGAAATTCTAAAGCTATCTGTTGATGCCATTAGAGCACTTTAATTAGATATGCTTGAAAGAAGAGGTGAGCTAGATCTATAGAAATAGGTTTCAGATCAGCTTATCAAAGAAAAATAAAATTTGATTGCTGAATTTGAGTCTTAATTATAGACAATAAAAGATCTGAATGAGTACGTTAATACATAAGCTGCAGAAATTAATAGACAAGCGAAAATCATTGAGTTGAGAGATAAAACATTTTAAAACTAAGTTCTCTATAATAACTATACAACAGCATATTCCTAATCCTTAATTTAATAGAAAGAAGAGGAAGAGAACAAAACTAGCCAAATGACGTAGACTGACCATTAAGTATTTTTGAAAGGTGATGTCGATATGATACTACTTAAGATTTAATATCTTGAAAACGAGAATAACCTACTTAATCTTAAAAATAATGAAATGCAAGAACTACTCAATAATAAAACAAGTTCTGAAAATATGGATTCTTTTAATAACAGCAGCAATGGTCACCTGGTTCAAGGTTTTGATGAAAAAATTTTAATTCAATCAGTTTAAGCCCTTATTGATGAAATTATTAAAGTCTAAAATAACAATAACAATACCCAATAAATATAACTAGACTTAAATTAGTTGTTAAAACTTGCAAAGTCTAGATAATATTTCAAGTTGATGGTGAATATTAATAAAAGTTTTGTCAATTACATTGAATCAAATGTTAATAGGAGATACTCAACTGTTTCTGTCAATACTATTGAAGCTAACGATGGTTTTATAAGAGATTAAGGTATACTTTAAGACATTTTGTCAGCCAAATAGGAAATTATGAATGAACAGAGCAAATCCAAGACAGGGATAAAGAAAGTTAAGATAGTTTCTCAAAATCCTGAATATCCATAGGAAAATTTTAGCTTGTCATATAGAAACTAGAAAATACCGTAAATTTAAAAAGAGCCATTAAAAATATAAGAACCTCTAGGTGATGCAATTAATATAAGGTTAACCCCAGACTTTACTGAGTAAATCAATAGTAAAAGTCCTACAGTTTTAATTGGTAATCGGAAGCCAAACATTAATAGTAATTCTTCAAAAAGTCTGAAAACAAAATAGGCATTCCAATACTAAAATCATCATTTCAAAATAGAAACAGATACAATAAATGATTGTCTACAAGTATAAACTGATAGGCCTTCAAAACAAACAATTCAAGTTGCAAAGAATTAAAATTTAACGTCTAGAAGTATAAAAGATAAAAGTACAAGCAGAGATCGATCAATTAGATCTAAGAATTCTGAATAGCCCTAAAATTAGTTGTGCAATAACAAGATATTTAATACTTTGAATAACTAGTTCACATAATAGAGATTGTTAACAAATAGACGTAGATCAGACAATTGCGATAATACTAGCAAGTCTAATGCAACCCCCACTCTTTCATAGAGAATCTAGAATTCTTCAATTACTCCTAGATATAACAAGAACATTAATAATCATTCTAATGTTGCAAATTCTTTACAGCAGTTTATTGAATAAACAGAGGAATTACATCAAGAAAAGAAATCACCTACAAAGTTAAGTAAAAGAGAAAATGATCAAGTTAAAGTTAATAAATCTCCTGAAAGATTATACAGAGTAGATTCTAAACAAAAAGAATTCAAGCCAGTAGTTACTTAAACAAGTAAAATAAGTAATAAGATTTTGAACTCCTACAGACAAGAAATTCATAACTAGACAAAGAAATAATAGATTTACAAATCAATGACTAAAGAACAAAGTTTGGAGAGCGGAAGTTTGATTCCTCAGTCAACTAACAGCCTTTAAAACTAACAGTTCTCAACAATTAGCAGTCCAAGAGAATATACTTAGATTAAGCAGTCAAGTAATCACAGCAAAAATCTTAGTTTCAATAGATTTAAATAGTTAATGGGAAAATCGTTTGTTCCTACTTAGTCTGTTCTATAGTCAAATGAGTCCCAGAGGTCTATAAAGTGAAAAACTCAAGGTAAAAATCCAAAATATTTGAGGATTTAAAAGCATTTATTTATTTAAGATTTGATAACTTTGAATTATTTACCTTGATTTAATTATTATTTGCTTAAATTATTCACCTGCATTTTAATAATGAGGGGTTTTGGGGTTTTGGGG